TGCAAGCAGGGCTTGCAGCCTCCTAGCCGCCTGCTGGGAGCAGTCTGGGCTTCTGGCTAGCAGCAGCTACTCAGAGACGGGGCGGCTGCAGCTGGGAAACTGCAAACAGCTTCTGCCTCCCGGCCCCAACACGTGCCGAGGAAAATGGCCTCACGTGCCATGCTGGCACATGTGCTGGGGGTTGCCAACCCCTGGGTTAGCCCATCCAGCCACCACTCCACCTCCCTAGTAGCAGCTTTTGTGGCAGCTAGGATGGGGCTGGAGTGCCCAAGCTGCATAGCAAAGCTTGTCTGTCCACGCTGCCAATATCCACACATGACACGGTAAGCTGAGTTGCCTGTGCTGCAGGGGAGAAAGGGGTGCTGCCCACCCGGTGGGGAGCTAAACTACCCACACTGTGTGCACAGCAGGAGGAGTGCTGGGCAGTCTAGCTCCTCCACTCTTTTACCCATGCAAGCCACATGCGCAGTACCCCCTCCCCTTCTGGCTGCTTGCAGAGGGCCCAGTTACCTGTGCTGCAGGGTGGTGAGAGGGAGAGCTACCCACTTGGCCCACATGGTTAGGTTGGGGAGAGGGCTGTGTACACAGCTGAGAGGGAAGCTGGGCAGCCCACATGGCACACGTGATGGGGTGGGGGGGGAGGGGAGCTGTAAAATAGAAGAGTGAGCATGGCTGAGCTGTGCATGGTAGGGAGGGAAAGGGAGCTGGAACATGTTTGCCTGCTTGACCACCTGCGCAGGGTAATGCCCCCAGGTCTGCAGCATGCATGGCATGTGGCCTGTGGCTGCCCAGAAGTTGGACAGCCCTGGAGTAAAAAGAAAGGGGAGAACAAAGCTCATTCAAGACTATAACAACAACAAAAACAAACAAACAAAAAAACCCTACAAACAAAAAACAGTCTGCCCTCTACTACAGCCCCTCAATTGGAGACACTCTGGAGGTGTAGCGAGATCTTCAGAAGATGCAAACACAACTCCCAAAAGAAAAATCCTGTGCAGGAATAGCTTTTATGTTGCACTGTATAATTGAATGAGATCTCTTTAATGCACTGCAACGGATAGGAATGTCTATATTATTACTAGTACAAATTCCTGCCAAAATCCACAGCTGAGAATTTTTATTATTACAAACTGTTTAACATAAAAAACAAATTCTATAAGACCTGCAGCAATACAAACAAGCACTTTGTGATCAGATATCAATCTTTCACTGACAAGTCTTTGAGTATCTTCAAATAAAGAGCTGCATTAAAGACTCAGTCCTGCCAGGTACCAGGTGTTTCCAAGGTAGTGATGAACATAATTAATCACCTATTAATTTCTTAGCATGCTTCTGACAGTATGAAATAATTAGTAACTCAAAGGAAGCCCGAGATCTTCCAGAACTGGGTTCCAATTCATTTAATACATTATCCTGGTATTGCCTCCGTGTTAACGACAGCCACTGGCATGAAGTGACTGTTGACACCACTCTCTCTCATTTGGCATCAACCCCTTTTGCAAATTAATTTTCTGACAGAGTTCTTCAATACTCTCATTGTTGAATACAGGGGTGAATTATACAGCTGAAGTTAATATATGAGCCACAGCTAAGTATCGTCCGTCAGCGGCTACTGCAGCTGGCAGGTTTTACCCACAAAAGATGAGTTTTTATAGCCAAGGTCAATTAAAATTGAATATCCTTTAGTTGTTGTGGTTCACTTCCCTCCCTTAATGAAACTGAGTGCTGCGATGAAAGGCCGGGCCTACAACTTAATACAACTAGTCGTCTCAGGCCAGCCAATGCTTCTGTTTTATAGATAACAGATAATGCACAGCCCTTCCATTTCTCCATGTATTAGGAAAAAAACACAAGTATAATAAAACCCTTGAACTGTCAGAAATTAAGGTGCTTAACGTTAGTTATAAGCCAAGCTAGTGAGATTTAAACTAGAATGGAAAAACAGAATATTATTCTTTGATGAAAACAAGTAATAGCTCAAATGTAATCCCCAACGATTAGCTGACGTGACTTTACCCTGTCATTCAAGTGAATGCTTCCTTACCTATATACGGTGTTCCTTCTTGTCTCATATTATCAACAATGGGTTGAAAGATAGCATCTTTGATTTTCTGTAGAAGAGCTTCTGGAACCTGATGAACAACAACAAATTGAGAAAGTAATAGCCCTTCAAGATATAAATTCTTCCCATTATAATTAATCTGAGAGTCTTTTAGAAAGCATAGGCTGTAAGCACATTTATTTTGTATTTGTTATCATGTTTCCATAAGAATTTCATAGGAATTTAAGTTCAGTCAAATGTGATAAAAAAATTGTTGGATGGTATCTTATTTTATTAAAAAGCTGCTCGATTGAAAATCTATTACATGTTCAACCAAAGCAATGTGCTTTCCTTCTGAAAACTCTAATGTATTCTTGCCATCTGCTTAACTTTACTCAGAATTTTTTGTGAGGTCCAGATAAGCAGTAAAATGTTAATACAATCTGCATACATCCCATTTTATTCCATCCAAGCCACATGTTCTATTACATAACAGAAAGCCAGTTAAGCCCTACTTACAGAGCTCAAAGAAGCCAATGGGAATCTTTCAATCTACTCCAGTTGCTTTTGGTAAAGCTGTGGTGGTTTTAAAGATTCTCAGTGAATATTCTGAATCAGGCTCCAAAGAGGAAAAACACCAAACCAATAATGAAAAATTACCCATTGAAACTGAGACATGGGTAATTCTCAGTCCATTTATAATAGCTATATTCAAAGGTGATAGATCAGTCTAGAAAATAACACTATGACATGTAATGGAAAACCTGTTTAAAGCTGTGTAAATCACTTAAATTTAAGCAGATCGACATTTGAGGCTATTTTTGGGTAATTTCTTAAGACAAAAGGATTTCTAATAAAGATGTCACCATATATTTATAATAATTAAAATAATTTGTAATCAATATAATAGGATATTAGATATAGAAACATGGCATCTATTAAAATAACAGGAAGGACACAATCTCATTCTACTTAAAGGCAAAACAATCCTATTAAAATATACCAGAGGGTTTTTTTTTGCCTTAAGAGCTCAATCTAACATCCACTAAAGTCAATGGAAAGATTGCCCCAAGTTCAGCGTGCAGTGGATTGGACCCGACATTCAGACCTATATATGGTCTTACTTCAGCATTGCGGCCAAATGTATTCATGCACCAGAGTTGAGCCGAGTGCTCTATCCCAGTGGTTCTCAACCTTTTTTGTACCAGGGGATGTTTTTAAACATCCATGGCTAGTCCTGACCCAGTGCCCCTCACTCCCGACCCACTGCCCCCCACCCCCAGGCTCCAGCCCCCGCAGTGTGTGGGGCAGGTGGGCCCTAAGCAGCCCCTTGCAGGCCAGAACTCTGAAAGCCTGCAAGGAAAAAGCCACAGTTTCCCACATTTTCTCCTTTAAAGGCAAATCCATTTTTAAAAAGTGGATCAACAAACTCTTAAAGTTTGTCCGTGATCCTTTCATATATTCTTGCAACTCACTTTTGGGTCATGACCCATGGGTTGAGAAATGCTATCCTATGCACTGTTCTGGCTGAGGGCTGGATTGGCCCCTAGTCCTCACTGATATCTGGCTACTCCCTGTTCCCATGAGCTTGTCCAGAAGCCAGGAATAACTGAAGCACAACAACATCTCTTCCATTACCCCTCTGTCACAGGACACAGGCACTGTACCAGGGTTCTTAAGGGTAGAGTGCAATTTTGGGCTTCCTGGGGACTTCCTTCCAAGTGACAGCGCTTATGATTACTCATAATTCCTTTCCACCAACGAGGCTGACAAAAGAGAGGCTTAGGACACTGGCAGAATGGGCTGCAGCAATTATGGCTCACTTTGTTCCAGTGAATTTAGCATTTGCAGAGAAATACTGTAATTCAATAACTTGCTGAAACAGCTCATCGGCCTTTCAAAGAATCAAAAATCATTTCCTAACTACATATTTGAGATACAAAAAGGATACCACATATGCTGGGAATTAGAGAGGCCCTTCCTCACCTCCACCCCTTAGGTGCATGCTTATGTCGGGTTGGAGAGACATGACCGCTAACTACACTTTATCAGGCATTAGCAGGTGCATCACAAACAGGTCTAGGGAGGTGATACTTCTCTATGCAGCACTGGTGAGGCTGCATCTGGAGTACTGCGTCCAATTTTGGGCGTCGTACTTCAAGAGGGATGTGGATAACCTTGAGAGGGTCCAGATGAGGGCCACTCATATGGTTAGGGGCCTGCAGTTAAGGCCCTATGAGAAGACATTAAGGGACCTGAATCTCTTCAGCCTCCGCAAGAGAAGGCTGAGAGGTGATCTTGTGGCCACCTACAAATTCATTGAGGGGGAGACAGCAAGGGATATGAGATGCTTTGTTTACCAGGGCACCCTTTGGAGTACCTAAAAATAATGGCCACAAACTGACAGAGAGCAGATTCAGGTTAGACATCAGGAAAAACTTTATGGTAAGGGATGCCAGAATCTGGAATGGGCTCCCAAGGGAGGTGGTGCTCTCCCCTACCTTGGGGGTCTTTGTGAACAAACACCTGGCTGGGGTCATTTGACCCCAGCGCTCTTTCCTGGCTGGGGCAGGGGGTCGGACTCAATGATCTGCTGAGGTCCCTTCCAACCCTAACATCTATGAATCAGCTCTAAAAGTAATGGAAAAGGCAGGAGAACACTGTCCCAAACTCAGACTTGAAATCCTTAAGAAAGAATAACAGGACTCTGTGTATGCTTCTATGCTGTGCCTCCATGCTGCACTCAGAGGCGTCACCGTAAAGCACAGCCCACCCATTCACTCCTGCCCTATGAGCACCAGCTCCCCATAGGGCCTCAGTGTAGCTGCTCTTAGGCTGTCTGCCTCAGGGCCACTCTGGGGTGGCTCCTCTGCTTTCTTCCAGGATCTGACACACACTGAACAAGACTGAGTGGGGGTGCTGCCAGAACCAGCATAAAGATGCGGTAGACAAGTCCTGAGATACTACATTGCAGCCATTCTGCAAGCACAGCTCCCCCTGACTTCAGAGGGAGTTGTGCCAATGTGCTGGCAACATGACTGGGGCTCTTAACAACAATGGTCACTAATGCCTCATTACACCCACAATTCAATTTCAGAAATAAACTCAAAGAATCACTATACCTGAGGTGCAGGGCAGAAAGCTCCCAACCCTTCAGTGTTTGGACCTCTGTCTCCATCCAGCAAATATCTGTGGACCTGGGCCAGTGGCATGGGGGCAACTGTGACTCCATCACTGAAGCACAAGCACTGTGGGGAAAAACAAACACAGCATACCCAAGTGAGTTATTTTACCCACTCAAGGAAATCAGCAGTGTAGCTCACATGATAAAGTCCTGATCCAGCAAGTTGTTTAAGGTATATCTATATGGCACAAGAAATAGATGAGGCAGCTCTACACATACTAGCTCTGGCTCCAAAAGCAGTACAGGTAGGTTAGCTATTACTACTAACAGTAGGGACTGCAGAGCTAATTAAGGGTACCTGTGCCCTGCACAGACATAGGTTTAAGGAAATGTTTATCTTAATGCATGCAAGTCATCCTGTTGACTTAAAATGGAACTATTTTACAAGCATGAAATTAAACACATATGCAAGTGGTTGCTGAATTAGAGGTCTAAATGTGTGCAAAATACTATCTTTGGAGCAAAATCTTGCATACAGAATTCAAGTAATAGTTGTCAAAGATATACAGCCATCGAGGCAAGCTTGGATTTCCTCCTACATGTTAGAATAGTCCAGGGACAACCAGACTATGACATGCATGCCACAAGTGGCACAGGAAGCCTCTATGTGGGGACACTTGCCTAAAGGTGGGCTACCACTAGCTATAATCCCTGGCTGGGAAAAGCACTACAATCACAAAAAGTAAGCTAACGAGTAGGATAAAACTAGTGGTGTAATACAAGAATTATAACAAAGCAGATAGAGCTACAAATCCAAACAAACATCTTTTAGGTTACTTTGTTCTCTTTATTATTTTTTATCCCCCTACAGATCATAAGTACTGTACATTTACAGTTAAAAGTAGAACAGAGTTGCATAATGAACAAATTCATTCAAATTCAAAATGTGTACCATACAAATTTACTTATATAGCTGCCCTATGGAGCATAAGCTATTCAAAACAAATAATTCATACCATTAGACAAACAATGCAGCAGCAATACAAGCAAAATGTTGAGCCAAAAAACTGACCAACATACAGAAAGTTCTTCCCCTTTAAGAAGTTCCTCAACGACAACCATCTCTCCAGACTCCCCAAACATGTTTTCCTGCATTAGAAATATTCTGTAGTTATTAGCTGCGATATCCATCTGTTAGTTCTGCTCTGTCCTTCTCTTAGCAATTCCCTTTTCAAGAAAGAAAACAATGCATTTGAAAGGTGCCAGCCTGCTTAGATGCCACAGGGTTCAACCAAGAGACAAGAATCCTAGAAAGCAACCACAGTCCACAGAAAAAGTCAGTGGATGCCAAGACACGTGTGGACAAGAAAAAAGACTGGTCCACAACTGCAGGTGTTACGTGGGGACTTAATTAAGTGCCTAATTAAATGACATTGTTCAATGGGCTGTACCTTATACTGTCCACTCGCATAAAGGGAGGTGTTTCTTGGCCCTGAGACAATTAGCTGGTAAACCAGGGTGTATCTAATCGCTACCCAATTTACCAGGCAATTAGATGAAGTTGGGTTAACTACCACATGCACCGAATTAGCAATGAAAGAATAACACGGTTTATTAATAACAAAAGCAACTAACAATATTTAACAAATAATATTAACCATGACTAATCAACAAACATCAAATGATCAACTATAACAGGAAGGAAGGAGTGGAATATATTACAGAGGGGCAAGAGTAATTTTATTTATCTCCACCACTGTCTGATCGGTCACTGGCCATCCGTCCTCCAGTACAGGTCAGCAGTGGCCTACCTCCCACCTTGCTGCCTTTTCAACAAGGGTGCTTAACTAATAAAAGGACAGAAGGAGGGGAAGGATTGAGGCGATAAAGTAAAAGGGTCATTCTGTGTCAAAGATGCATGCACCCAGGGAGGAAAAGCCTGGGGAGCCAACTCTATTTACCTTGATGTAGAAGTCTGAAGGGGAGCAACCGCACGGAGACCTTTGAGCCTCTGGAGCATACACAGCACAGCCTCCATGGAGTGCCTATCTTCTCCTTCAGTCAGTCTCTCCCTATGCGCTCACACCCCAGTTGATATCCGACACAGGCCTCAATCAGTTTCACTCCCTCCACCACACTACCCACACGTGCCCTTGGACACACAGACCCAAAACCTCACAGCCACAGATCCACCCAGACACACCCCGAGCTCAGCCTATAAAGGCTGTGTGGGCGCGATGTGCACACGTTGCCTAAGTGGCTCTGCACTTGGCCCCAAAATCTTCACATGACACCTCTTTCATCATCATCTTGCATCATTTTTCATGAGGCAAGGTCACTCACAGTTCACTTGGTGACCCACTTTCCATCTGTGCTGTGGTACCATAGTGTCTTCATCCTTATACGTAGACCCAGACCCTAATTTTGGCCACAACACAGGCACTGGCAGACTTGAACACAGCTTTCCTTTTATTCAAGAACAGACACAGCATAGGCTGAAGTAGCACAAGCTGCTGCTGCCTTGAGTGGCAAGGCTTTGACTTGAGAAGGAATCAGCTCAAGGTAAGAAATTAATTCAGACTCTGGATCCAGCCTGCTCTCAGGCCAATAGGATGGTGAGGTGAAAATACTTGCTAGGGCTACAAAATGGGCCAGGATCCCAAAGTAAATTCTTAGAGACCACTGGATAGTGGCAATCAGCCTTACAGTATTTAAAGAAAAAGCATTTTACCTGCATCATCTTTTGCACAGCTTCACATGCTTCCTCTTTGCTGGCTGCAATAATTACCTCTTTTCTAGCAGCTGGGCTACCAGCCTTTACAACCAGTGCAGGAAAGTCTGTGCTTTAAAGGAAAACATATCACATTAGAGTCAGGATCCAGATATCCCTGCTGCATCCTCTAAAAAACACGCTTTCGAGTTCGGTGCTTCCAAGATTTTTCCCTTTTAGCTGCGTAGTTGATGAATTTTATACATGCACACATACTTCCCATCCCACTCTGGAAGGCCATGTTGTTAGACAAGCTCATCATGGACTTAGGCTCTAGGTGCAGGACACGGAATAGGAACTCCTGAGCTCTTGGAGTGGCTCTGACTGTTCTTTGTGAACTCTTGGACAAAAATCATTTAACTTTTGTGTCTCAGCCCCCAATCTCTTCCCCCTTTAAATCCAGGGATACTACCATTTGGTAGGTCTCAAACAATTTGAAAGAATAAATGATCAATTAAATGCAACACTAAGCAGTATTTCAGAAGCACCATTTAAGCGTCCATAATCAAGGCAGAACTGAGGCTTGTGCCTCAAGCAGAAATTCAGCTGCTGTTTTGAAGAGCAAGAGAGGAATTCAGAGGACTTGCTGCAAAATTACAGCACTTATTTTGAGCACAGAATGAGTTATCCAATTCTGAATATTTTAAGCACATTCTTACTCCTGTACCTCTGTCCCAGATGGTAAACAGCCAAAAACCAAATGTGGTGTTTGAATAAGTGATGCACAGAACGACTCGGACAAATGGGCAATCTTTCCAATCCAGAAGCTCATTCCTTTGACATTTCTTTATTATCTTACAGAAAGCCCAATCTTTGGCTTCTACATTCAGTAGTAATAGCAAACAGAAACCTTGTATTCTGGCATGTATAGCATGTCTGTCTGAAATATAAAAGGCTCTCTCTCTGTGTTTAACCCCATTTATTGTTTGTGTACTGAAGTTCCTTTACATGACAAAAATATAAATAGTTAGAGCTTTCTTAGGGAAAACAACTAAATGTTTTTAAAAAGGCACGTTCTAATTATACCCGTTACTATATGATACAAGAAAAAAAGTGCGTGTAGTCAGTGAATGAACACAAAGCAGAACTGCTGTAGTGACTCTGATATACAGCAGCAGCCTTCTTTTGTAGGTCAGTTTTACTGTAGTAGCGGAACATCACTACTTAGGAGCAGATGACTCCCCCAAAGAATCCTACTGATTTCAG